GTTGTTGTCGTAGTGGATTCTTCTGGGGGATTAAGATCTAAGTATCAGGGCAACTTCACCAATCAATCAACCCACAAAGAATTAAAACCTTTACACTTTGCTACCTATGTAAATACTCAAATACTGATATGCGACAGCTCAAACATGCAACGTAGTCCACATCATAGACAGTAACGGGAACTTTCTTTGTTATATAAATTACCCGTGCGTTGGAGGATTGAGCATTGATATTGACCAAAATCTTATTACTGGAGACAAAAGGACTGGAAAAATTCAAATAATAAAATATCTCGAGAAATAAATTGTCTGATGGTCTGTGAAGTGAAATGAGATTTAATACTTTTAAAACAGCCATATATACACAAGAAAAAACTGCTAACACACCACTTGTTAATTCTTATTTATGAATTGAACATTTGCAGGATCGGTACTTTTGTGTCCGGAAAACAATTTCCAGCTGTGCACTGCGCACCATTTTTGCCCATATATGAAATTCATTATCACTAAAAGCAGTGTGTGATGTTGCCACAGGAGTAGTCCCCAAGTTACATGTATAAATCAAATAGCAAACAGTCATTAGCAGTCATATCGCCTAGTAATTATCCAGTTTCCCAGTGTCTATATCAAATCCACTCAACTTCTGGTTGGCGAAGTTTCGTGGAACAATTTTAAACTTATTGTTTGCTGCTAACTTAATGTCGTGGCTATCTATAGTAAATATATATTTTTTTATGTTTGTACATCTATTTGCAGCAGTTGTCATGAGTGGAATTTAAAAGCTTTTTGTTGTTTTCAATTTTTACTGATTTCTCTAAAGGAACTCCCTGCAGATGCCATTCTGTCTGCTTTAGCACACTATTCTAGCGTCAAACGCCGCATACAGTGTCACTTTTTTCTGAGATTTTAATCAGTACAAATGTAAAGAACACATATACAAAGAAAAAATGATTTTTTTGGGGCTTCAAAATGTTATGGCAAGAATTCAAAGTTTCTAAATCTTGAAGCGGTTGATTGTGCCAATTATAAACTTCTCAACACATGTTGTAAAAGAAAATAGAAATACAATCATAACATGTTTACATAACAATGATGACGTGTTAAGTCCTAAAATATTACAATGTTGTATACATGTAACGTGAATACTTTGTAACTTTTCTACAATGACGTCCAATATCTAGCATCGGATTACTGATAACTATTTCAGTAACATTCCGAAAAAACTGTCGGTTATGTACAAGCCCGAAAGCATGATTTTTTAAAGTAAACTAAAGCCTTTAAAAGAACTAAATCGATTGTCTGAGCGTATCTGCTAGCTTTGATCTAAAGGCTGTTACTTCCTCGTCGTCCCCGCCCTCCGGGAATTCTATGTACGATTTTGATTCGATCAAATCCATGAATGAGAATGGCAATTTTTTCATGACATCTCTCTCTAGCGCAACCAAAAACAAAATAGTTTCCCCATTTCGGGAATAGATGGTCTCCATGCCGGCCATATTTAGTTCAAACATGCACCAGTATGAATCTAGAAAATGTGACGTAATAATACAGAAGGTTTTCCTGCTATTATGAATGGCATTGGTGATATTGTCTGCTATGCCTGTTCCAGGGATGAAATCACGTTGGTGTATGCACAACCTTAAATTGAATTCCCTTTCCAAGTGCTTCACGAGATTGATGACGAACACTCTGTCTTCATCAGCATAAGAAACGAATGCATCAAAGTGATACGACGCGTTTGGCAGGGCATCTGGTCTGTAAACATTAATTTTATAATTTTCCCTCGCCACATAATACATATACCTCAGTTTCCATCTATATCTGTAAAGAATACGGCTGATGGTGATTGTCAAGACAACGATTGTTAATGACGTCATAATGACGATAATAAGAGTGTACGAGGAACACTGTTTTTCCAACATCTGAAGACGGTTTTCGATCTCTGAGAATGGAATCCCTGAGGAATTTGAAGAAGAGCACACATATTCATCAAAATGAAGAAAATTAATATTCTTTGAACTTATAATCCATTTCACAAAATCCAAGTTCTCACAGTCGCATCTCAGTTCGTTGCCCTTCAGGTTCAATGACAGAATGTTCCTTTGGGAAATTGCATCTAACATGTCTCTTGTTTCTCTACTCAAGGATGATATCTGGTTATTGGAGAGGTCAAGGTGAGACAAGCGATTCATATGACTGACTGGTACTGTAAACGTACTCAAAGAATTGAAACTGAGGTTAAGATTTTCCAGTTGCATGAGGTTCCGAAATACTTTAATAGGAAGTCGTACAATTCTGTTTCGTGTTAGATTTAAGGTTTTCAACATGAACAGATTCTGAAAAATTTCTCCCTCAACATCATTTTCCAGATTCTCACCTAGAGCATTTTTGGAAAGATCGAGGTAAGATATATTTTTCAAATCTTCGAAAAATCTTGGCGAAATATAGCTGCAAAAATTGTTAGAGAAATCTGCATGAACAACACTTTCGATGCCGGTAATGGGACCATTTAATTCATGGATTATGTTGTTTTGAAAATAAATTCTTGACAACATAGGTGTTTTAACAGATTTGAAAACAAAATTTTGAAGAGTCATTTTGTACAGATTATCGTGAAAATATAACGTTTTTAAGTTGGGTGGAAGGAAGACTGTTATATTTTCTTGTGTAAGTAAAGGTAACTTTATTTGCTTTTTGACTGTCGTTACCCCATGTTGGTTTTCTGCTAAATTCGCACATTGGCCCGGCTTTGTATCTTTGCAGCTTGTGAAAAAATCTATGAGTCCTATTTGATGAAAAGAGGACTGAAAACTCGCATTGATAGTAATAATATTAGATAAATCGCCAAATTCTAGCAGATAAATCCCAAAACTGAGTACGTTATTTGCCAGATTGATATATTTGAGTGACTTTGGTAACTCGGTGAGAACACCCGATTCCAGGCTGTTGATTCGATTATTAGCCAGGTTTAGTTCCTCTAAATGTGTATGCTTTAGGAAAGCCGTGTGATGTCTTTTAATAATGAAACTCACTCCGTATGTACACTGTAGTTTCTCAAAATTTAATACTCGAATGGAAGAAGAATTTCTTAAATCACTTGATATGTTCGGCATAACCTCAAGAGTCAGTTCCTGATTACCGGAAATGTCAAGATGCACTAAATCTGAAGAATTTGCAAAGGAACCCAGTTCAATCGTATGAAGCAAGTTTTCCGAAATACTTAAATTTCTCAGCCTACTATATCGGGTTAGTGAGTCCTTTGTTACGTTAATAAGATTATTTTTCGAGACATCTAGATATAGGATATTTAAAGGAAGATTTGTAGGAAAACGTGGGAGTATGTTGTCAGCCAGATTAATTCCCATGACTTCACTACTAAATGACGGTGCTGTTTCAAGACGGAGTTTTTTACAATTTGCCCATATTTGTCCGTTAATGTTACGACACACACAGCGTTTGTCTGACGAACAGTCCAATGCTTGTACTTGTATTGATGTTGTAATTATAAGAAATCCAAGTCCATTTAGAATAAAGTTCCCCATTCTACAATTATTAAATAAACAGTCAGATTAAATTGGGATTTCATATTTCAACAGGATTGTACACATGTACTTAAAATTCGAAGAAAAGAAAAAAAACAATTCCAAGGTTTTTTTATTCTTTGTTAATCGTCCACTTATATTCAGGACGGATTGTAAATGTATTATATCTAGCGTGTAAGTACAACTGCAATTAAAGCTTATCACAATCTATGAAAGGAAGCACATGTACTCATTTAAAGAATGTCTTTCTTCGACCCCTTACGTAAATCTCAGCTATGACGTGCTGTGATACATGGCAAACGTTGCAATGTTCTTTCTTATCCATTTATGTTTTATGTTTCGATTTGTGTTATATATCTTTTTTTATTTGTGTTGTACGAAATTTATTCATATTCTATATTTTTCCATTTGTTTTCCATAATTTTCTATTTGAATTGAATAATTTTATTTGTATTGTAAACATATCATTTGATTAGTATATTTTTTTTTAATTTGCATTCTATATTTTTTATATGGATTGAATCATTTCTTATTGATTTTGTATTGTATAATTATTTTATTTGTACTCGATAATTTTTCATTTGTACTGAGTCCAAGGATTGTTTACATATTGTTTATTTATTTCGTTTCGAATATATTCATTGGTTACAATACAGTGTTTAAACAAGCTTGGTACGTTTTGGTTGACGTGGCCTAAATTTTTCACGTGAATATTGATAAACTTCCCAAAGGGAGGGGATGGCAAATTTAGTTGAATTAGATTATTTATTACACTTTCTATGCAGAAGAGAATATTCATGTCCAAGATGACCAGCGAAAAGAAGTAAAAGTAAATCACCCCAAAGCAGAAAACTCCGTTTCGGGGGGGGGGGGAGGGGAGGGGGTGAAAGGGGGAACAGTCTTGGGTACTACCAGTCACGATCAAATTATTTATTCTTCTCGGACAAGATTTCTAAGAACACATTATTTATTTGCAATCTGCCATCGCTCCCTTTTTATCGTCATAGTTGTTCTCTAACATGCATGCAAATACATATAGGAGTCAGTTTACTTTTCAGTAATCGGCAATCCTCGGCTGACTCCGCTGCGAGGTACGAATCATCCGAGGAACTCTGAGTGGCTATTCAGGGGCACTCGGAACGTCTCATTCATTTTCAACACGATACATGCTAAACCCATCGGCGCAAACCAAGGCCAATATGTACAATTCTCTCCCATACTGGGAAAGATCTAATGCAAACTCCAGATCGTGGCCTGAGACGAGGGTATAAATCTTGATCAATGAAATCCTTCGTAACAAACTAAATAATTCGCACTAGAACACGATACAACTGAAAAATCATCGAATAAAAGTAAGCAATCTTACAATACAATGAGGAAAAAAAACAAGCAATGGAAAAACCCATATAAATTGAGATATTTTTTTTATTATACAAATGAAAAGTAACGAATATTAATTAAAAAAATAGAAAATTCAATGGAAAATTAAAAATCATAAAATACAAATAAATATCATAGAATACAAATGGAAAAGATCGAATATTGCAACGTTTGGCATGTCCTACAACCACGCTAGACTTCAAAGTATTTCACGTCAACCGTACCGGAAGAACGTCTACCTCGCTTTGCCTATAATAGGTTTTGGAACAAAATAAATGACTATCATTTGCTTCTGGAGGTAAAAAGAAAGATTTTTTTTTCATTTTTGATATCAAATGCAGAGACTAAGTAAATTAAACGCAATTGACGATAGAATAAATTTAGATAGAAAGCAAGAAGGATGAAGGTATATTATGCACTATTTGCATCAGTGATGATAAAAAAGCAATCAGTTATAAATAGTACAACATGTACAAATGGCTTATATATTTCTATACTGATATGGGACAGATATTTTCACTTTAAGAATACACAAATATCGCATATCTATTTTCACGGCTAATAGCTATCCGTTAAACAGTACCTAAATTAAGTTTCCTTTCAAAACAAATTGGATATATTTTTTGTGGGATCAAAACATATTTAAGTTGCATTAAGATAAATAACTTTATGAAAGAAAATAAAAAGAAAGAAAATGCATTGCACATGTCTACAATTACTTTGAAAAAATAAAAGGACATACAAAGGCATAAATACATACAAATAAAAAAAATCTACCTGGCGTTTGTGAAAGTGTAGATTTCTAACTATTTTACTCCACTAAGATCACTTGGCCAGAAACAAATCTCCACACATCGGTATATATCTGATCATGTGTTCCAGTTTAAATGTGGAATTTATCTCTGTTTGTCGGCAAAATATATTCATTTAAAAAAAGGAAACTGATATTGTTCACATCAGTATGCTACAGATGAATCAAAATGAAAGTTGATAGTATTCATACCACCCTTGGAATTTCGCTTTTATTTTGTAGCATAATCCCTCTTATATTACTGAAATAAAAACCTCATTTTTTATGTTTATATGTAAGGTAATCTGCCATCATTTTTTCTTAAAAAAAAAATCCTGTACCTGATTGTTATGTGTGACCTAACCAGGAAGTAGGTTTTACCCTGATTTTAGGTGTTTTCATAAAGTTTTTTCCTAAACTATTTAATTATCATTTGAATTAAATACGAACACTTAAAAAGTAAATCTATCCCCTTATGTTTCGATGGAAATGTTGAGAGTGATTCTTGTCAAGGAGTCTACATATGCAACAAAATAAAAGGGACGAATGAAAATTATCAGGTTAATATGTTTGCAAGCAACACGCAAAATATAGTTAAGAATCTTAATATGAACTAAATATTTTCTTTTTATTTCTTGAAGAAACCATTGTTGTTTATCAGTCAGTAAATACCAATAAAAAAGTCGCCTGTACAGATTTCTAGGTCCTTCAATCGATCAATTATCCAACCGATGACATTCATGTTTATACAAATTAATATTACAATGATTGAGATATGTAAGTAGCTTGTAAGTAGCTTGCAGCTGATTTTATATAAGAGGGTTGATCCACAAGTTCGTGGAATTTCTTAATATTTTATTTATTTATACATGTAAGTGAAATTGGTTGAAAACTACAAATGAGAATATAGACACGTTGAATATTTTAAATGAAAAAAACATTTTAAATATTTATGATTGTAACTCTATGGCAGTTGCCATAGAAACAGTTGTTTCGAAATGCCGTGGAAACATAACGGCGTTTATTATCACTTTAATTCTTTAAATGTGAAATGAGAATAAATCCGCACTATGTGGGATAAAAAAGGAAAAATTATGTCATTGTTACGCTTGTTTAATCGTTTATGAATCTTTGTGTGATAATTGTACTGATTTTACGGGATATTTAGTGTATTAGTTTATGATTTATTGCCCGTCTTAAAGTTGTTAGACAACATCAAATTTCGGTCAAGTCATAAAATTTGTGAAAATCCCGGGATCACTCTATTTTAAACGCGTACATTATTGACATACGCTGGGGAAAAATGCATGTACGAGGGACGTTCAATAAATAATGTCATTGGGGCTCAAAAAGAAACAAAAAAAGTCTGTCTATAAATTAGTCTTCATGATTTAACCAATATATTCTCTTTGAATTAAAACACATGTCATGGAATTATTGCATACGTCATTTTAAATCAAAACTAGTCAAAAAAATATTTATCAGTCAATGCATCAAATTTGTTTGTGTTGAGTATTCCCTTAAGGAAACATCAGTGAATTTGTCCATTAACTTTAATATTACAAGCTGTCAGACTGATAAATGATATTTCGCCAATTAAAAAGATGGAGTATTCCACTTAAGTATAGTAGCGTGGTCCCTTTTTACACCCTTAATTTACTGGTTAGATAGAAGAAACGCATATCTTGTTTGATTTCATTCTGAATACGTTTTTTAATAAGATTATTGTGCATTTATAATGAATAATTAATCATATAAAAATATTACAAACCAATTTTAAACACCCATGGCGCTAAAAAATGCCGGAACATTTTCCACCTATCAGACTACGGTTTTTCTCTAACATGCAAATGGGCGGAGACATTTAGATTAGATCCTATAAAGAAAATTGTGATATATAATATTTTCCTTTCAAATACGTTAAAGATTCTCAATCAACAACATATACAATTTTCTATTCACAAAACTTTGGCAATGTGAGTGAACCACTATAACAAGATTAACCAAAAAAGTCCATATGTTGACTGATACAATACTGAGTACGTTTCAACTGAGCACTAGCTAGCACGTTTACTGTGGGCATTTATCCGTAACGACACAAATCCTCGTGGCTTGTTGTGATTCGAAACAGGTCATAAAGAGGTTAATCGCATGTAAATGAAGACTGAGAAGAGGTTCAAAACCACAATACTTTTAATTAAAAAACAAAAAACATAGAGCACAAGGTTGTTCAACAAATATATTTTTTACTGAACCTTTACACATATAATATACACATTATATATCAAACTCGACTCTGAACAAATCTGTGCTCGGTGTTTACGAAAGCTTAAACGTGTGTGCCTGTCAGTAATTTCTTTTGATATTCATGAAAATCAAATGACCCTAACTTCAAAACTGAGTTTTGTATGCTGCGTACATCTATTATTTGACATTTTTAGAGGAAGACTCGAATAATAAAGATATTAGTTAATAACATTTAATTTTTAAGATCTATGTTAAAGGTCCGTAATTTGACGAGTAACCGGCCGGGACCACAAATAAAGCCTTATTGAGACTTATAATTTAATGTTTAAGATAACAATGTTTTACAGTTATGTGTATTATGCCCTTCCTCATAGTTTATCTTTAATGATCACTAGTTACAAAAATAAAATCCTTGATCCATAATCATTCTGATTTCCTTTGGTGTTAAACAATAGCTAACACTAAAATGATGCGATGGAGATTTTTCTGTATTATCTTAGCTTAAAAATCTTTGGTATACCGGTCTTCTTTACACTATCTGTCCTTCGATCTTGCTTCTTCTTCTTTGTTTTCCGTGATTGGACGAAGGTCAGAAATTGAGAGATATTGTCAAGTGTTTTCCCCTGATTTAACATTCTTATTTTCTTTTGGCAACCATTTAACTTTTGTTTTTATATCATTTTTACGGATGCCAGACGTTAAATAAAAGGTATTGTTGTAATTTAAATCTTGCTATTTTATTGATGAGTTATTTTCCGATGTTTATTGTTTTTTAGTAGCTATATTGATATTCGATCCCTAAGATTAAATTCCTATCAGTAGTAATTATTCTTAAAACACTCTGTTTGTGCTTCCTGATTAATTACATATCATAACATTATATTTCATATTGTTGATTTAATAGTAATAGTAAATTTTTACATTCATAATTTAAATGTAATTCTTCTTCTTTGATTGAAACAGTTGTAGAACAAATTTTGCAATTAAACTGAACAGTCTTAAGTATTTCCTTAAAAATACAATTTATTTTTTACTCAAAGACCACAAGTATTTCATGTAACCAATCAATGAAATCACTCAATTTCAGGATTTTCAGGTGGAAAAAAATGGCTACCGTTCAGGGACAAGATATTATTTCCTGCTATTTGTGTCCAAATTCTGTGGAACACCACTGCAAACCTTGTCACATCGATATTTGCAACAAATGTGTATCATCACACCTGGCCGACAAATCAAGGGAACATGAAGTTGTACACTTTAAATCACGGAAAAAAGGCAAACTTGTTCTTCCTGTTTGTAAGTTACATGAGGAGAATCAATGTCCGACATTCTGCCAAACCTGTTCAAAACCAGTTTGCCATGATTGTTTAATGAGATCTCACGAAAATCACGCTTTGATGGGAATTCAAAATAAAATTGAAGAATATAAGTTCCGAATAAAAGCTGATACCGCAGAACTGCAAAATATAATTGTTACAAAATTCAATAAAAGCGGGTCTTGTACACCTGCTGCCGATTTGATAAAGTTCTCAAAGAAATAAACGACCAAGAAGAAAAATGTGTCAAGCTGTACATCACGAAGCTACCATTTTCAAAAATGCAGTGACCAAACAGAAAAATCAAGCTGTAATAAGGAACAAGCAAAACAGAAAATTGGTAACAAAAACTAAAGAAGAACTCAATGCAATTATTAAGATGAATGAGGGCATCCTCAGATCTTATGATGCAACGACTGTTCTAAAATATAAATCATTTGATGAGAACCTACGAAAGGGCCCAACGATATTCGAATTTCAATGTCCGGACTTATCTTCACATCCAATTGACCCAAAGCAAATTCGGAAAATGTTTGGCTCAATTTATTCTGACCCTTCGGGCAGGATTTTAACATTTTCAAAGAAGATGAAAGTTCCTACAGTACTGAAAACTCTTCAAAGTCCTTATGGAATGACTCATAAAAAGTTGTGGCAGGTGCAAAGTATGGGAAATGATAAGATATTAACAAGTGGCCGTGGGAAAACACTAAATATAATAAATATGAACATATCTATCCTAAAGAAAATCAAAACTAACAGTGATGTTGTAGTATTGACAACCAACTTTGATAATGAACCAGTATTTACAGGAATCCCTTTGCTTGATTCAAAGGTTTACATTTTTAGAAATGGCAAAGTTGACATACTGATGGATTTAGTTGACTGGAGCCCCAGAGGTCTCTGCCATACTGCAGCAAGAAATCTGCTGGTTAGTATGCGCTCAAAGGGTAGGAGTCAGTCTAGAGTTGTTTTGTTTTCAGATAAGATACCAAAGCAAGTTATACAACATGACAGAAAGAAAACACCTTTATTTTCGACTGGTTCTCGCGGTTTGCTTCGACTGACTGAAAATCGCAATGGAGATGTCTGTATCGCTGACTTTGATGCAAATGTCGTTGTTGTGGTGGATGCATCTGGAAAATTAAAATTCAAATACCTTGGTCATATCTCCAAGTCATCCGAGTACAAGAAGTTTCAACCATCAGTAATTGCTTCTAATATCAATCATCAAGTCCTAGTGGGTGATTTTGCAAATGATCTAATTCACATCATCGATCTTGATGGAAACTCCCTTTGTTACATCAAACACCCATGTTCTGCCGGACTGAGCATCGACTCTGACGAAAACCTCGTCATTGGGGAATACTATACCGAAAAAATTCGAATTGTGAAATATCTGGAGTAAATCTCAAATTGATACTACCACAAAGTTTCTGTATTAAACGTACATCTTAAAGGAAATCGCTGAAAGTTACATTGAGTCTAAGTTTTTGTTTTTGTTTTTTTTCAAATAAGAGAACTTTCAAAAGGGTAACATGT